CGAGCGCGGCGTCGGGCCGGCCCGCGGGTCCTCGCCCTCGCCCCGGAATGCGGGCGGAAACGCCCGGCCCCGCTGCCTCACCTGCAGCTCCGTGTCCCCGCCCGCCCCCTGCAGCTGCTGGGCGTGCGGGGGCCCACGGCCTTGGCGGTTTGGGCATGACTTGGAACCGGAGCCGGGGTGTAGACCGGGCCTGTGCCCTGGCCCGGTGCGTCCCTTGCTCGGAACTTTCCTGGGGCTCGGGGCGGCTCGAGGCTTTGCTCGGTGCCCAGGGCACCGGCGAGGTTAGGACTCCGCAAAGCATCGTTCTCTGCCTCATCCTCCATCCCGGTGCCAATCTGGGACCTCCTGTTCAGGCCGCCCGCACACGGCACCAACACAAGCACACACCCCTGGCGCGCTTCTTGAGCGCCTGTTGCACGCAGAGTTGACACATCACGCATCTATGACCCTTCAGCCATGTCACGGCGAACGCAGCCAAAAGCACGAGGAGGAAGGACCTCCACCGATCCTCCAGCCACACCCCGCTCCCAACTCAGCGCCAAGCCTAGAACCTGGGGCCCGGAGACTCGGGGCTTTGGGCAGCCACGCGGGCTGCAGGGTCGTCGTTCGCAGCGGCTCAACCCGAGAAGTCACGTGTAGGGAGCCCATGGCCTCTGACGTTGGCCGTAGCCTGGCTAACCCTCGCTAGATCCGGCTGAAGGATCCAGGCTTGCGGAGCGCCGGAACGTGCCGCGACTTCCATCGCATCGACACGGCACCCGGCTCCGAACCCACGCGGGCCGCCGCGGCGCTCAGCCACTCCATCCGCACAGGACACCGGCCCTTCGGATGGCGGTGCGGCAGACCGCAGCCCCCCCCTGCAGGTTTCTGCTGGAATCGGTGTAGACGCCCCCGCCTCTTCCGAGGGCCTTTGGGACGGACGCTGTTTGGAGGTGGGGGGCGGTACCGGACGCCTCTCCGGCTCAGCGCCTCCACGGGACCCCTGGCAGCGGGGCAAAGCCGGGCCGGAAGACAGCCGCGCCGCCCTCCGAGGCCAGGCCCAGCCCGGCTGGCTGCGGATCAAAGAGCCTGGGCCGTGCTTCTCTGTGTTCAGATCCTATCTGCGCCGCCCAGCGGGACGCCTCGGACCCCCACCTCCGGGCTCGGGTGCCCACTTTTCCTCCCTTCCGGGCACTGGGGTGGGGGCACTCGTGCTCGGCTTGGCAATGGGGATGGGGAGAGACCCTGCCCCCCATTCCGTCTCTCCAGCCTTCTTCCACCAGGTTTGGGCTTTCTGCTGAGCCCCACCCTGCCCCCTCCAGGTTGGGGGAGGGGGTGCCCGGCCAAATATGGCCCTGCCAGAAGGAACAGGGCCCATGGCCTCCCCCACCTCAGGCCAGAGGCTGCAGGGTCTGGCTTTGGGATGAGCCTCCTCTGGAAAAGCTGGACGAGAATACAGATTTGCCGAAATCCGAGGGCTAGGGGGGTCCCCCTGTACTTGTAGATGACCTCAGTTTAGCAGGGACCTCCTCCAGAACAGATGTCCCCGGACCTATGACGTCCCCAGGGACACAGGTCGGAGGGGGTGGACGTTTTCTTCAGTCCATGGCGAAAGGAGGTAAGTTAGGACAACAGTAAGGTGGTTTTTTGTGTGTTTGTTTGTTTTCATTCCTTTTTTCCTTTAGTCAAGGATTAGGACCTTATTGGTGTGAAAAAAGCCTTTCTTTATGAAAATGATGGTTAAAATAAGTGTTTTAATTGTCTTTAATTGGCAAAAGAAAACAAGAACTTCTTTCCCCTCAGCTGTTCACTCCCCCACCCTCAAGTTTCTTGGACATTTTATAGGGCTGTGAGAACCTCTGTCCTATGGGATTATAGCTTCGACTCCTCATCCTGCTGGGTGGAGCCAGAGGCGGGGATAGGTGAGAAGGGAGAGAAGTATGAGGAGGGGAAAGAGAAGAGGAGAAAAGGAAGGAGAAACGGGCCAAGCCACAGGCGTCCCCAGCCACACTGAAATCAGTCTGAAGGCTTGCTGAGGGATCATCTACTGTGGACCTAGTGCTGGGCTCAGGCTTTGGAGAGGGAAGGGGTAGAGGTGTTCTGCTCTCCAGGAGCCATTGACTACTTTGAGAAGCTGAGAAATTATTAGATCCGACTTAAGCACTAGATCAGTCATAGAGCTCTGATATGGTGAGAGCAATGTGGAATGGCATACTCAGGGTGGCCTTCTGGAGGAGGGAGATTTCATCTGGGCCCGGAAGGCTCAGAAGGGCTTGGAGACTGGAGAGGAACAGGAGCTTGGGCTTGTTCTCCAAAAGTTGGTGCAACCCCTCAGTGGTCCCTTGCCTGGTCAGCACTGATTCCATCCTCATCATCTGCACAATGGCCTCATATGCTGAGTGATTGCTACTGCCAGGCATCCTGTAAGAGCTTTGCACACACATTATCTCATTTAATCATCATCAACCCTGTGCCATTTTACTAATGAGAAAACTGAAGCTCAGAGAGGTTGAGTAAGTTCTCACAACTTGAAAATGAGGGTGTCAGAATTCACAACTCAAGGAGTCTGACTCCTGAGCCCACATCCTAACTACCATACGCTAGTGTTCCATGATGAGCCCCTACAATTCCTGAGGGAGTTCTTATTTGCTTTGTGGTCTTGGCAGGCAAACGCTGACAAATGAGCTGTCACTATTATAGAGTCTTGACTTACTGGTGGCTCATGGGGCATAGAGGGGCCCCTTAGAGAATTAGGAATCACCCCAGTGGTCTGTATCGGGTAGCCCCAGCCCTTCGCTGGGAGAGAGGGCCCAGAATCTTCCTTGAGCCAGACACACCTCAGTCCGTACCATCTCTCTCCCGGGCCCACCCTGTTCTGGGAACAGACTCAGAGCCCACACAGAGATGATAGGCACTGGGGGATCCTCCACGGGTGGTGCGTGAGATCTGTTGTGCTTAGCCCCCTGGAGATGGCCAGGGCGTTTCAGGACCAAGACCGGCTACAGGGAGACCCCAGCATCTTCTGGACTGACCCGGTCCAGATCATAGCTAGTGATTTAATAAGGCTTCCTCTTCATGCAAATGAGCCAGGTGAATTTGCTTTGTCCTCAGATGCAGGATGCAGGACCCCGTCAGGATCCCCAAGGCTTCAGGGCTGCGGTGAGAGAGCTGTGGCTTTAGATTTGGGCAGTCTTAGGTTTCCATCCCTTTCCTGCTGTTTACTAGCTATGAGACCCCAGACAAATCACTGACCCTCTCTAAGCCTCAGTTTACTGATGGGTAAAATAGATACCATACCCGGGCCTGCCTCACTCTGTTGGAGTGTGGTTGAGATGCGTCACTGTCTCCCAGTAGAGAGCTTAGCACAATGCCTGGTGCATTCCAAGTGCCCTAATAAATGGGTGCTCTTGAGTTAAATATTTTTCGGAAGTTGTTAGGCTAATTGGCGCTTCGTGTAACGTCGTGTAAATCGTCTGAATGTTCTCATGGCCTGAGCCCACTTAATCATAGCTAAGGCTGAAAATATACATTTCCTTTCCTTTTCTTTCAAGTTCCTTTAACATGAAAGGCCTGTGTGAACTCTCTGACCTTTTCTAACAGGGAGACCCTTGAAATGTGGCATTTCCAGAAAATGGCTCAAAGGAGCCCAGATGGATTTAGCAAATTACAGCAGGGAGAAGTTCCGAGCTGTGTCTCTTCCTGCCGCCATCCCGCCTGGCATCCTGTTGGGGCATGCCCGAAGCTGCCTGGAGGCTGGGCTCCCGGCTCTGCTCCGGGCAGGAGCACTTCCCATGGAGGCTCCTCTCTCAGGGCAAAGCCCGGTCACACGTCCTAGAGGCAGGCTGTGGTTAGTTACTAGAAACACAGTTTGCTCTCTGGAAACTCTGTGCAGTTTCACAGTGTGTTGGGGCATGTGTGTCCATGTGTGTGCGTGTAGGTGGCTGTGACCCACAGAAGGGCCAAGGCACACAATGGCTGGGATGCAGTTGTTCTGGGTTGGATTCCAGGCAGCTGCCTTTAAAATGAAACAAGAAGGCCAGGAACGGTGGCTCAGGGGGCTGAAGTGAGAGAATTACTTGAGCCCAGGAGTTCGGGACCAGCCTGGTCAGCCTTGTCTCTACATAAAAAAAAAAAAAAAATTGAAATATTAGCCGGGCACGGTGGTGCATGCCTGTAGTCCCGGCTATTTGGGAGACTGAGGAGGGTGGATCCCTTTGGGCCAGGACGTTGAGGCTGCAGTGAGCCATGATCCTGTCACTGCACTCCAGCTTGGGCAACAGAGTGAGATCCTGACAAAAAATAAATAAATGAAAAGAAGCAAGAAGAATTTGGGGTCACTTTTTCCTTTGTAAAGGAGGAAGAAATCATCTGTGGGTTCTCCTCTCTTCCTACCCCTCAGACTTCATGCAATAAATAAGAATGATGATGAAAAAACAAACTTCATGATGAAGCGTGCGATCGGCTTTTCCTGGTGAAGTCCCACAGAAGTCTGGCTAAACTGGCTTGAGGGATGGTGGG